CAATTCAAGAGCATCCACAAAGAGCTTGACAAAACCACTCAGGAACAGATTCATAGATCATTGGGAAGAGGTGTTCATCTTTTCTCCTACCAAAACACATTCAAAGAGTGAATAAACACTTGCAATCCTGCAGGACCACTTAAATCTTCAAAACTAGCCCTTCAATAATATCGTCTCGTGTTCTTCTCCTGCATCTTCTGCATCATCCACATGATGGGTTGAACAAAATCTACACACTTCGAACTTGGATTTTCAGTTAATGCAATCTCCCGAGGAAAGGAATGGCTCAACGGTAAGGTGGAAAGTCAGCGCAATTGTAGATGTTTCAACAAGAAGGTTTTCCTACGTGACTGCGGAAAGCGCACGGCGGCAAAGCGGCAAGTCTGCGGAAAAGGTTTTGGGGTCTATCATGAGAACAACCATGGAACCAACGAACAGCAGCAGGGTGGATCATTGGAGTCGGTGTGTTCAAAGCAGGTACGTCAGTTCCGCGTCCGGAACTGATATCCTCACCATGTATTGCCAGCTTCGTTGATGGAGAAGCAATACAGGTGTCTCCATCCCCTGCCTGTGTGAAAGTGGTGGGGTGAGACCCTTTGTCCAGGGTGGGACACACACAGGTCGCCGCATTCGGCGCTTTTTTCCAAAAACCGGTGGCAGGCGTGGTAGTTATGCCCCTTTTGGACATATAGGTTGACGAGTTCAGCCGCAGCAAGGTCAGCGCTGGAGGGTGGGAATGTGTATTCCGAGGCCATGCATATGAATTAAGCGAGCATCAAATTCCCACAGGCACAAATGCGAGTATGCAATGCTGGTTAGACAATTGAGTACATGACTTGAAGAATCACTCTCAACGATGCAGAATCTGACATGTGAAAGACTCCTTCAAAAAAAAGCCGATACAATTCAAAAAATTCTCAGCAAACACGACGGAGCTAGACACAGAAACACGCACATGATTGGAAGCCATGAAAAGAAAACTGAATGCCGAAATCGGAAATCAGAAGTTCTGAATCTGAGGGATTGGTCAAAAACCGTTTTTTGGCCCGGCGGCCGGTGTGGCAGTTGATTCTATGAGGGTGTCGGTGCCTTCCTGTGAAGTTCCAGTGATCGGTGGTGCGTTGGGGTGGTTGCTTTCCCATGCAAGAACGGCGCCCCTGTGAAGGGGATCACACTCAGCACCCGAGTGGGACGGCTGAGCAGGACACACTTCGAACTTGGATTTTCAGTTAATGCAATCTCCCGAGGAAAGGAATGGCTCAACGGTAAGGTGGAAAGTCAGCGCAGTTGTAGATGTTTCAACAAGAAGGTTTTCCTACGTGACTGCGGAAAGCGCACGGCGGCAAAGCGGCAAGTCTGCGGAAAAGGTTTTGGGGTCTATCATGAGAACAACCATGGAACCAACGAACAGCAGCAGGGTGGATCATTGGAGTCGGTGTGTTCAAAGCAGGTACGTCAGTTCCGCGTCCGGAACTGATATCCTCACCATGTATTGCCAGCTTCGTTGATGGAGAAGCAATACAGGTGTCTCCATCCCCTGCCTGTGTGAAAGTGGTGGGGTGAGACCCTTTGTCCAGGGTGGGACACACACACACACACACACATCAGCCACGCACATCACCCACAGCTGAACACATGCACCATCCACGCACAGAAAGCTCTTTTCCACCTCCAGTCTGACCACACCCTTCATCACCCGGACGCGCTTCGGAACTCGTCTTGGACGCAGCCGAAAGCAGCACGTTGGCGGCGAACGCGGTTGTAAGCGATGAAGGCAAGACCGCTTCTACCAGGGTGGCACATGCTTGGCCCCAAAGGACACACCCAAGTCATATGGGTGCCAACATGAACGCCTTTTTTGCGTGTTTCTCCACACCCGCACTTCGCTACGCGAGGGCGACGCTTCGTTCTGTCGGCTCTGCATTTTCGTTGCTTCGACCATCTGCGGGTCGCTCCGGCTGTGTCTCGGGGGTGTCTCGGGGGGGTCTCCCAAACGGCACACACCCAGGTGGTCTGGAAAAACACATCGGTTGTTGAAGAGATGAACCACCCAAAGGCGACCCCTTCGGCCACGAACCAACTGCTACATGTTTGAGGATGTTTGAGGTCCAGTTCACCCTGGTTGTGAGGGTCAAAACCCTAGCGGCCCTAGCGAACTGAGGGTCCTTTATGAGCCTTTGGGCAACAGGTTGGTGTCCAGGTTCTATCGTCCAAACGCTTTCCTGTCGATCAGTGAGGTCAAGCGAACAGCACCCTGCACGGCATGCGAACAGCTGCGTGATGAACGGCGCATCGATGCGAACCAGCTAGACATCCCATCTGCTTCGTGGAAAAAACACAACCTTGACATCATATATGTCGTATGCTTCGTCGTTACAACCATCCATATCCTTCGTGAACGTCGTATGCTTCGTGGAAATCCGCAAGGATACGACGTTCTTGCAGCTTTCTGCTGCCAATTCTTGCGTGATGCGATCTTCAAAACATACGCCACTTCATGAGACAGTTGAAACTCAAGTTCCTGCCCCGCAGCGTTTGCTGCAGGCTGGATGTAAAAAGATTCCAAACATCTCACCAAATGGGCCATAAATCGATTGTAGGCCAGACTGCCACTCATGCTTGTCTGCGATATCAAACTGCACATGCCTGGCACAGACATCAGAGGCCTTGTGTGCATCCATGTTCGTCCATGTTCTGTATCACATGTCATTCTTGCAACAAAACCAAACTGTGGCATGTTTGTTGGAGCTTCCTTTGCAGGCAAAGCGGCCGAACCTACAACCGACCATGGGAAAAACCTGCCAAACATGGGCAAACATCGACTACAATCTCGACTACAGTTAGCTTTACATCACTTTTGTTTACCCAATGTTCTTTTTGTTCCCGCATTGCTTTAGTGACAAAATTGGTGTATCAACCACGGTTAAAGCCACGTAGCACAGCACTTGAAACATCGGCTGACACGATCGCCTCATCGCCTCCTCTGCCGGGCACCGGTGACCCTCTAAACGTCGATGGCCTTAGAGTGAGTGATCGACCCGAGTGGACAGATTTGGAGAAAACCCGGCTTGAAGAGACCAACGCCGCAAAGCCTGGAAGTCCAGCTCGACGGTATGTTGCCCCACTGAAGTCATGCAATGTTCTTTTTGGCCACCTATACCTATGCATGTAGAAAATAGTCTTGAACTCCCAGCGGCAATCACAATGATGATACAAAGATGTCAACCCTGTCAAATACAATTGTCTATCTGTTATCTGTAACTTATATATTCATTTTGTTAATTTGGTATGACGGTAGTAGCAAAGCAGTTCCATAGAGGGCTCAACGAATCTTTTGATGCAAACTGCCCAGCAACCCATGCCTTTGCCAAGAGCCTCCCGCAATGCCCTTGGGTTCCTATGTGACAGCAAACAGCGAATGAAATTCGGCCCAGCGAAATTCGGATCCGAGGACAATGGGACCCTTCTAGCTTGGCACCGCGGACGAGGACATGCGCCAAGCTGAAAGAGTCCAACGTTCACCGAGTCCTCGAAACCAAAGCAGCCAGTAACGTAGACTCTTGGATATTAGACTGACTCATTTGAATTGGACATCCTCTTCATATGGGGGGGGGTTATGGTCCCCAAGAGTCTACATTTACCCACCATCTGAACACATCGTTGTGATCTTCAAACCCTGTCATGGGCAGGCCAGCCACACTCCGGCTGCATCATCGAGTGGGAGATGTTCAACCGACCTGTCTCCGGTTCTGCACCTGTCTGAGTGTTGAACCTTCGAGTGATGTAAGCCATCTGACTTGCACGTGGACTCGATCGACTGGCACGATCCATGCGGCCGACTCGATCCATCGGTCGATGGTTTCGGCGTGAAACCAAAAAGGTTTTGGCCTGAACCCATGAGGCATCTCATCGTGACCAACGAGTCTCCGACGCCAACCTTTCAACTCTGCATTCTCCTCTGAACTCAGGAACAGATCGCAAATACTTCCGTTGTGTCGTTCTTTCTTCCTTTCTTCCGTTCTTCTTTATTTCTTTTTACGGACTCGGTACGGATGGTGTTCTGAAGCAAACGCTCTGCCTTTCCGGGGGTGTGGAACGAAGCAGCGTCCCCCCGACCGCAGCCATGTATCCATGTGTGACCTTTGTCATAGGAAATTGGACCACTTATATACATGGTTGATGATCAATATAGGTCACAACCATAATATTTGATCCATATAAATGTCTTATTGGATGGTTGTACGCCGAAGGTCGATGCCCGTGGCCGCAGATGGTTGATGATCAAAAAATAGACATAGACATCCTTGAACATGTTCGACATGGGTCCATCGGTCAGGTCCCAATGCCGCAAGCGCCAATCCCGTCTCTACGCCAGTGCCGTCGACGCCCTCCCGTCGACGCACGTCATCCGCTTTGCGGCGAAGGATTCACTCCAAGAGGCTAGGAGGTCCAAGAAGTCCTTCAAGTCCACCAACTGGACAGGCGTGTCGCCGCGGCCGGACTGGACCGTGGTGTGGACGTCCCGTCCAGAGGGGTTTGACCGGGGTTTGGGGGGAATTCTGTGGTGTGGTTTGGTTGGAGGCCAAACCACAAGTAGGTTGGAGGCCATTGCTATTAGCTGGTTCAGTTGTTTCGGCACCACTGCTGTGTCTCACGCTACTTCAGACTGTCTGCATGTTGGCTTTTCTTCCTATACCCTGCACCTCCAAGTACCTGCCTCCTCAGAAGGTATGACTGGACCCTCCAAACCCACCCCAAAACCCTGAATCCAAAGTTGGAAGACAGAACATCTTCAAAATTTCCTTCCAGCCATTTCCGACCCATGGACTGGAAATGCCTCGGATGAATTATCACCGTAGGTATTCGCAGGTCAAGTCCCCCAAGGGAAATGGATGGAAATTGAAATTCCTCCTGCATCTCCTGCTCTTACCCTTTGAATCGATTCGGGGAGACGAATCATTTGTTATTCTTCGCCATGCACAGCAATCATGTGCAACAGTCGCAATTTTTCGTTGCCGCGCTCTCACAACTACTCGTCCAGATACTCTACAATAACACCTGCTGGCCAAGCCTCTGGGTGAACATTCGTGTTCACGTTAACGAACACCCGCCTCAGGCATGGAGAGTTCAGGGCCCACTTTTGGATTTCTTTGGCATGTGGGAAGCGCACCTCCGCCACTTTGGTGTCTTTGAAGCATTCGTGTTCGAGTAGTTCCGCGTTTGGAAAATAGATTTGCTCCAATTCGGAGCATGAGCTGAAGCCATTGCTCCTTATCTCCCGCACACCTTCGCCTGTGGCCCGTCTCAAGGATGTTGCTTCCGAGAAGGCCCAAGACTCAATCAAAACGACGCTATTGGGCAGGTCGACATGAGTCAGCGAAGTGGCTTGGAAGCTGGAATAGCCAACGTGGGTCAGCGTGCCAGGCCAACTCACGGTGGTGATTGGCGACTTAAAAAAAAGCCAAATCTTCCACCTTGTTGAGTTGCGGATGCAGGTTGGCGTGAGAACACCTTAGAGGCAACTCCTTTTTGCTATTGCAATATTTTTGCTCCCGTATGATTGTAAGTGGCCTCCCGCCAAGGGAAGAGACGAGACTCGCACCATCAACCACCTTTTCGTCAACCACGAATTTGGTGACTATCCATGGAGGTTGGCCTGGGAAGACATTCTGTCCAGCGTCTGCCAGCGTGGAAGACGCTGACATTTGTAGGACTTTGGTTTGTCCACAAATCACGTTGATATTCACCTCCTGTGAATTCTCGTCCACTATCTCGTCATTCTCGTTTCCATCTTCGCGGGGCATCTGGGGGAAGTTGTGTTTCGGCTCGCCCCTTTGTTAAGACGGGACGATGAAGCGCGTGGACGATGCCCATTTCCCTCAAATAGACTGAATCTGTCCTGGAGCCACATTGAATGCAGCCAACATTCCTGTCATGCAGCACTGCTGGACAAGACAAACACTCCTCATACTCTCACTCATGCAAGGCATTTTGTCCATTAAATTGTGATACATGGATATAAATTGTGGTTTGTGCAGGCCATCCTGTGTTCTTATATGTTCTCAATTCAAGGGTTCTCAAGATATTTCACATGTAACCGAAACGAAATCACCCATCTGCCAGGACTCAACATTCGCATTCGTCACGGGAATTCACCTACAAGAAGTCACATCCACCGCCTTCTCAGGTTCGGTACGACTGGAGGCCTAGGGCCTAGGGTTAAGTTGGTAACCTCTTATACTGACTCTTCACTCCTCTGTCGGCCTGGATTTCGACGCCATGATGTCCTCATGACTCACCCGTGTCATCTGCAGAAAACCAACAAATCGAAAGACAAAACACACAAAAAAAAGGATCTGGATCTGAGAACCCTCGAAGGAGATATGAGATATGATCTTCCTAGTCCTGTATGCCGTGCCCTCTTCAAATCCGTTAGGCTTTTCATGTGTGTCCTTTCCGTCCTGTCCGTCTTTAATGATGCTTGGTACGACAGTATAAGAGGTTACTAACCCTAGCCCCTAGGCCTCCAAGAACCGAACCTGAGAAGGGGTTTTGGGGTATGATGATCTTCCAGACATGCACAAAATGAGATACCCTTGTTGGACCCTTGATCACATGTCAACTTCTGTGTTTTTTTGAGCTTCCCATTGTGCAAAATGTGTAGGACCTTGTCAGCGGGTGCAGGTTGTCAGCAATGGCTTGGATTCATCGCCATGCATCCTGCATCTATATAGGTACTAGGGACCTTAGAAAGGCCATGGTGACTATAAGTAGTGTAGTTGATTGGGCCTTCAGCTGCTGCACTTCCCCGGGGGGCCTCGCCCTGCTGGGCGGATTGGACCAGCAAGCTAGCGTCCTCCTTGAGGATCCGTGAGAGCCTCAGGACGGTATAGGGGGGGGACACCGGACCCGTGCCGGTCGACTCGACTCGGCCATGTGGAGAGGTGGAGGACCAGTTGTATGTGAGGGTACTGTGACATCCACCAAACTGGGAAGAATCCGAACTCACTTGGCTGTCCCGGACTGCTTTTTTGGGCCGTGCGTGAACAAGGTTGTCCCATGGACACGACAGCCCGCGTCTAAAAGGATCAAACTTGGCTTGAAACGATATCTACCTACCCCCGCCCCCAGTGAGAAAGTGAACTCCACCACAGGTCATTCGTGCTGTAAATCATGACTTGGACATCTTTTGTGAGAACCGCACACACACACACACATCAGCCCCCACGATGAAGCATGAATCGACCATGAGCATTTTTCATCTTTGAGTCATCACTTTAAAGCCCTCCACCCCCTCTCATCATCCATCATCCACTCTCAACCCACTTCAACCTACTAGTCTCTTCCCCGCCATAGCTTACCACCCACCGGCACCCACCCCCAGCAATCTGTTGACCGCAGTTTGACAAACCCTACACCTCCAAGTACCTGCCTCCTCAGAAGGTATGACTGGACCCTCCAAACCTACCCCTTCTACCCCTTCTCAGGTTCGGTACGACTGGAGGTCTAGAGGGTCTACCGTCTACCTCATGTCCACTGCATCTCAGTGACACCTCCGTGAGCGTGCTGGCGGCAATTTTTCCATCCGTCCCGAACTTCTGCAAGGTGTCCTGGATGCCAAGCCACAGATCATTGGCCTGGTCGACGAACTTCAGGCTGGGGGGGGGGGGGGGGGGGGAGGGGAGATACGCAGTTTTAAACGAACAAACACCTGAAACAAGTCTCATTGCTGGTACTCCGGAATATGTTGTACACATATCTCCATAGTACTCAAAGAGTACCAGCTCCGGAATTTATTACAACATCTCCAATTCGTCAGTTTGCAGTACAACTCAAAGTGACACACTCAGAGCACCAAAAGCAATTACCTCAGGACACCAACCATCCGTCCGTCACACGTCCGTCCCGCTCCCACCATCATGGCGCCTGCGACGGTCTGGTGTTGACATCCTTTGGGAGACAGGACGGGTGATGCATTCGCTGTCGCAGAACGACTGCAGAACAAAAAAAAGCAGAAGAATCCCTAAGCTTTGCATTTGATGATTCCCTTTGCAGAAAGTAGAAAGACCACACAAGAGTCCTCTCTGACATCCAACAGTCATCTCTGACAAGAGTGCAAGTCATCACAACACCCTAAATCCATACACCACACCTGAATCCATCCCAAACACTCCATATGTATGGCATATATGCCTACATCGATCGGTATATATGCCATACATGGAGTGTCTGGGCATGTCATCCCATTTCTTCGTCTCTGACATTCTGGGCTCCCCGACCATCGTCTTTGGACGCTCCGACTGTCAGGGGTGGACTCTGACGTGGAATTGGAGCAAACATGGCCGAACGAACCACATGACCGGTGCAACCAACTTGAACAAATTAATGGACTCGACTGGTGCAAGTGACATGGTTGCCTGTCGACTAGTGAGGTCAACCTACCAGGGTTCGTGCCCGAATTGGTGATTGCAGGTGTTTGAATACAACAACATGACCTTCAACCTGAGGCTGTGCAAAACGAAGCAACTCAACGAACGAGACCTGTCCACGTGGTCATCGACGTCATATCGCTCACTCCGAGTCGATGGGAAAACATGAGTCACATCTGCACCAACGACCCATGAAGAAAACAAACGGATTTGGGGATGCAGCAATCTGGTATCACGATTTGTTTTTTCCACGTCGTCGAAATGCAACAACAATAGAAATGTACTTGGAATTCTGAGGTCATGTCCATTTCTTCACCCTGTGTGGTCATGGATCATCAGGGTATGACTGGCCCTTGAACCACCAGTTTATGACATGGTAAATAGGTCATACAAAGATGGTCAATGGCATCTGTCTTAGTTACGCCAAACGTATAATTTGTCACAGTAGTTGCTATATGTTGCGCGCTACATCTTTGGACGTTTCATCAGCTTTCGACTGGTCCCTTCCACATGAAACATCCCGTTCTTGACATCGGTCGCCCTCACGTTTGCGGAGTCACCCGGCGCCTCTTCAGGTGTCAAGACCTGTGCCAGTTGCCATTCCAAGGCCTCTGCACTTTGCAAAAGCTCTAAGATCTTGGCCTCAGCAGGACGCTACATCTCCATCCACTTCTAGCGTTCGGACGCTATTAGGAAGCCATCGCAAGTAGGTTGGCCATCGGCCATCGAACGTAACAAGAACGCTACTACCCAGACGCTCCAAACAGCCCTTGGTCCCTCAAAACCTAGCGATTTGAGCCCCCCAGACCCCTCCAGAGGATTCAGGTCCGACCCCTCCATAGGATTCGGGCCCAGGGTCGCGTCTGGGTAGTAGCAAGAAGCTGTATAGATCTTCACCTCGGCTCATCTCATCTGTATCTTCTCATCTCCACTGAAACTCACGTCACCCACTGAAACCAGTGGATATGGGTACGGCTATCATGTTGGGTGTTCGCCGAGCGGTTTCTCGCAAACAGCCATCTACCGTCCCAAGGCACAGTCTCCACGCCCAAATACGCCGCCGCATTCTCCCTGGCCACGTCCAAAGGTGTTTCCTCGCCGCCGCACATCGCGCGCATCGGCTCGCGCGCGCGCCACTCGCGCTTGCAGGACAAGTTACTGCAGAATCGACCGATGATTTGAGTAAAGTGCAGAATATGTTGATTGACTGGTTGCAGCGGATTTTCGTGGGAGTGCGAGAACCGCTTGGTGACGACTACGGTCTGCATGATGAAACACTTGTATATATACACTTACTTGTGGGATCTTGTGTGCCCAGTTTCATGGCAGGAGGTTGGAATCCCATCCATGTAGTGCAGGCTGGGATGCAGAAGGATGTTTCTCTACAAGCCGACAGTCGTGACAGTCTGGGATCTCCGCCAGCCACGCCCGAGGAGCCGACGGATGCTTCATGATGTGTTCTTTACAAACCAGCTCCATGAACCTCCAAGATGTCTTTTTAGATGAGGGTCCATATATCAACCACCTCTTGGGGTCTGTGCCATCTACTCTCAATCCACTGTAAAATCGTTGGCATAAAGCTCGTTGCTTTTCCAAACCTCCTGCAGCTCAGGTGCCAGGAACGCTGACCGCACCGTTGGGTCAGCGTTGGCCCGTAGCAAGACCTCTGAAGCTCGTGCAGAGTAGCTGAAGCAGCTGATCTCCCACCAACCAAGGATAAACAGAGAGAAAGCCGAGAGGGTCATTAAGCCAAGAAAGCCACGCCAACACCTGGATCGCCGAACTTGCTCAGCTGTCATGGTCAAGGGAACTGTTGGACAAAAATTGTGGACATCCTCTGCCCTTCAACTATGTGGCATTAACGGAAGGAACTCTTTTTCCCAGTTCTTTTTCGAAGCTTAGCAAGGAGAAGGGTTCAGAGCGGTGCCTGTCACTGGATGGATCATGCTCTTTGTCCAGGCATACCACTATCCCTATGGATCCACACACCTTCTGAGAAGGTGAGCAGGGAGAGGTCCAATTGCCCTCTGAGAAGGTATGTGGATCCATAGGGTATATAGGGCCTAGAGGGTCCTCACTTGGGCATCGATGGGCATCTCGACTCAACGACTATAAGGGCTTTCTCATCGATTCGAAGGTGGCAACCACCCGCTGCAAAGTGAGAGAAGGCCCTGGTTGAAACCCGTGAGTGAAACCCGATCTCCGAACATGATCAACGACCAAATTTGGACTATATGTAATTATATGTATATATATTATGTAATATATCATGTGGCAATTTGTGGCACAAGGAGCTGGTGGTCCAAAAGGTATACTCTGTTTTTCTACAAGCCTACCTCAAAATGCGCTGAAGCTGATTGTTGACTGGCCAAAACCAAGCATGTTCCCTAGACCTCCAAGTACCTTCTGAGAAGGGGTTTGGGGTGGGTTTGGAGGGTCCAGTCATACCTTCTGAGGAGGTAGGACTGGAGGTGTAGGGGTTGAAGCTGATTTTCCACCGGTGGGTGCCGGCTGCTGGCCGAGCCGTCCGATCGTGCTCACCTGAACGGCTGGCGCGCTGCCCGCCAGTGCTGCATAATGGAGGGGTCGCTCACGCATGACCTGAGGTCGCTCACGGGTCGTCTTCCGTGCAACGCATGACCTGAGGGTGCTCGACATGGTGAGACTCCGAATGATCACAGCTGGAGTCTCAATTCGTAGCTCAGAACATGGGAACCGATCAGTATGGTCGCTTAGTGTAGAAAGACGGTCGTTATGCAAAGGCCTTTAAAATAAAGGTCGAGGAAGGCTAGGGGATCTGTGTTATTGTTCCTTAAATGCTTCGGGTCATGAGACGCATGTTTTTTTCCAGGTAGTGACCGATGTCAATGGACCTGGCGTAGTGACCAGGAACGAAGACCATTCGAAGACCTGGCGCCATTCACTCCACCAAAGCAGAGCATGATGTCGAACAGTGTGCGAAGGCACCAGTGTACACGGCCTCATGATGAATTCGGAACCTAGACCTTTGGAATTCAACTGGGTCTGGGAGCAAGCCTTTTGAA